CCTCCTCAGTTTCAGAGATTCCTTTGAGCTCTTCAAGTACATAAATACATGTAGGAATCATTAACAAATAAATGGTATGAAAAGGCAAGGGAATGGATGAGACCACCCAGGAAGAGTACACAGAGAGACGAGAAATAAAGGGGAAGGAGTTAAAGAGATCAGAACAGGCCAGGCATGGTGGTTCACCCTTGTAATCCCAGCACTTTGGGAAGCCGGGGTGGGTGGATCACCTGAGGTCAGGAGTTTGAGACCAGCCTGACCAACAAGATGAAACCCCTTCTCTACTAAAAATACAAAAATCAGCTGGGCATGGTGGCACACACCTGTAATCCCAGCTACTTGGGAGCCTGAGGCAGGAGAATCACCTGAACCTGGGAGGTGGAGGTTGCAGTGAGCCAAGATGGCGCCATTGCACTCCAGCCTGGGTGTCAAGGGCAAAACTCCATCTTGAAAAAAATTTCTTAATTAATTAATTAATTAATTAATTTTAAAAGATGGGGTTTCATCATGTTGGTCAGGCTGGTCTTGAACTCCCAACCTCAGGTGATCCACCCATCTTGGCCTCCAAAGTGCTTGGATTACAGGCGTGAGGCACCATACCCGGCCAAACAAATTTTTTTTTAAATAGAGAGATCAGAATAGAAGAGAGCCCAGGACTGAGCCCTGAGGACACAGCACAGAGGTCAGAGAGGAGGAGATTCTGAAGTAGGGAAACTGGAAGCGATGGACACAGAGCAGAGAAAATCATGAGGGTCAATGCTGCTGCAGCTGAGGGAGAATGTTCCAGAGGATGAAGCTGGTCAGCCAGCCAAGTGCTTCTCACAGGGTTGCTCCATACCCAGGCCATTGATTTGATGGGGACATGGAGCTGATTCAAGAATGGGTGAACGGTGGTGGCAGCATGTGCAGGAAGGCAGATCATGGAGGATGGCTAGTTTCTCCTCACTCCGTGCCACATCCACTATGAACTTATCACATCTCTTCTTCCAGATTGCCATGAAAGTATTTTTCTCAATCTCCAACAGGCTACTGTACCTGCAGGAAGAGGAGGAGCCCAGGTGAGCCTCGGGGCAGGGGCTGGGAATGGGGCAGGGAGCCTGAGGGGACATCGAAGGCTTGCAGAGCAGTTTCTCCAGTCCAGCAGCAAGGACTAACCAGCCATGATAAGAAGGAACCCACAGAAACCATCGAGGCATCAGCCTCAAGCCTCAGATGCAAACACAAGCTGTGGGCTGGAAGGCGGGCAGAGGTCCTGGGAGTACATGAGACACTCACTTGATAGAGTTGATGGCCAGCTGTTTGAGGGTCCTCAGGTCAGCCTTCATCCCCCCAGTGCCCATGAAGTCCTCATAGAAATTGTAGGACACGCCTTTGGCACCAAAGATCGCTGGGTCATCAGAGCTGATCACCATGGGGTGCCCAATGGCCATCAGAGTAGCTGCAGGGTGGTTTCTCAAATCAGACACCAGTTTCAGAACCTGCCCAGTAGGAGGCAAGGGAGAAAGATGAACTCTGATCCCTAAAAAGAGTAGTCACAAGTGAAATGAGACCTGGAGCCCCGATCAGCTCCCTTCATCTCCCCATCGCTATCTCCCCAATATGAGGATGACTTCTGGGCAGTCACAAGGAGAACAGGGCCAGTACCCATGCATCTCCTCCTGTTTCATCAGCACCACAAATACTCAGTCACTTCTGGTCCTGCTCAGAGAAGTGCTAACTGAACACAGATACAAAAGACCCCAGGAAGCACTGGCCGCCCCCTGTGTCCTTTTTGCTCTGTCCACAGTTTTGCCCAAAATTCCATCCCACTGGGGGCTCTCACAGCTGCCACATTCCTACTGGTGGCTTAAGCAAAATGCCCCTCCTGAATGACTTCACTAGCAGGTGGGAGAGTGGAGGGATTTTGGTAACAAGAGAGTTAAGGGGAGAGAAGTTTAAGAGGAAAAAGTTTAGAGGGCAGAGGTTGTGGTTACGGGAGATCACATGGGATCAGCCGCATGAGTCACACATACCTGGTTAGAGATGGGACAGACTTCTATGGGGGTGTCCTTTTTCCGCAAGTAAGGCCTGGGGGCGGGATGTTTGCTCAAAGCAAATCCATGTCCGATTTTGGTAGTGTTTAGCATCAAAGCATCCAGAATGTTCTTGTCTATGGAAGTGCCCTGCCAGTCTGAAAACAGGAGAATGGTCTTCCATGCGGGATTGATTGGTCTGACCCCCCCAGAACATCCTCAAATAAACAGCCCCCCAAGGTCAGATGTGGCTTTCCCAGACTCCCTTACAGCTAAAATGAAAAGAAATTTCCCTTATGAAAATGAAAAGAAATTAACACAAATACACACACACACACATACACACACACACACACACACACAGTTTCCTTTTAACAATGCTAAAGAGAGGTATGATATGGCTTTATCAATCATTTAATTTATTAATTTATCATTCTAATGAGGAAGTTGAAACTTAATAGC